TCAACTTCTGTCCTAGAAAAGCCCTGGGAGAGATCCAAGAATTAGACAAAGGTTTGAGTAGAGTTCGGGTATGAGACCATAATTAATATAAATTAAAAGTGCTACCCGCTGAGCCTTAGTAATAAAGGGATTAATTGTGCTTAGGCGTGTGCTTCTTCATCAAGTTCCAACTGTAATATGAGCTTGCTCTGTATTAGCATACATCTTTACTAGTAGTTAGTTAAACAATTTCAGTAGTGGTGAGTTTTTATTTCAACGAGGTATCAAGGAAAGAAACAAATGTTAATTTTTATTCAGAGGCAGTATTCCCAGAGTGACAGTTTCATTTATCCTTCCCTGCCTCCCTCCCTCGAGCTCTCCCTCCCTCCCCCCTGCCCTTTTTCTTCTCCTCCTCTAGAACAAAATAGTGACTCTTCTGAAATGGATCTATGGCTCTACACATTTAAAAAGATAATCCCCCCTCTTCAGCAGGCCCTGGGGTGGAGAACTCTGCCTGCTCACCTTGACCTAGAGGTGATGACTAGTGTCTTTCACTTTATTCCCCCACCCACAATTATCCTGACACTTCTTAAGCCTCTTCATTGCAGGGGAATACCAGAGAACAATTTGGTTAAAGTAAATAACTACCCGGGAACAAATTCTTCCTGTTTTATGGGTGGAGAGTAGGAGTCCAGAGTGCTCAGCTGCATGCTAATCTTTTTACAGAAGATCTTGGCATGTGAGGGATTAGAACTCAGGCCATTCAGACACTCCTTTACCAGATCCTACAGCAAATATGGAAACCAGTGCCAAGCGTGGCAACTCTGGATAGTCTTGGCAACTTCACTGAACTGTAGGAAAAACAATTCTAACTTGCCAGGCAAGGTGATAATGCACTGGCATGCTCAAGGAGCACGGATTGGGAGATCCCAGCTCTATACAGCCCTTGTGATTTCCCTTTGGCATCAGGGTGGCAGCAATGGCCACACTTCAGAGGCTGACCCTTGTTGCTTCGGGAGGGGGAGGACATAGGATTCACTAAGGCTGTCTGGGTTCTTTCAGGTGCTCACCTGTGTCTTCAGGGGAGCCTGGCTCAGCTTTCTTCTCAGGCAAGGCATCAGATCTTTTGCTTTCAACGTGAATAAAAACCCCACTTCCAGTAGGGCTTGGCATCCGGTGAATAGGTACCGTGCTCAAAGAAGAGCCTTACACAGCTCCCTTGTGTTTCCACAGGGAACTGGTGCAGGTGCAGACCTGTAAGGCAAATCTGCTCAGGAGGCTGAGGCAGGAGGATGGTAACCTCAAAGGCTGCCTGGGCTACAAGGTGAATTCAAAGTCACTTGGGGCAATCGGATGAAATACTTCCTCAAAATTCTCACCGGTATCTTAGTAGTTCAGCTGTATAATATGTATCTGCAGTGCCCTAGGTTCTGCTCTCAGCCTCCACCCTTAAATCCAAATATTTATTGCTGGAAACTATGCATTATAAATGACAAAAGAGTCTTTCAGTTGGGTTAGATGTTTCTTTTTATAAATAAGGAAAGAAATGCCAAGTACCTTTTCCAAGGTCACTACAGGGTGAAAGGATTTGAACTCAGCTCCAACAGGCTTTCCAGCAGACTGATTGGGTGTAACTTTATCCTTTTCAAGGTATTTTTAATTTCGTTGCATGCTGTGGGACTCACACAAATCAGAGAGGCAGGCAAGTGCTTGACAGATTAGGACAGATTTGTGGTGTTGAATCATGGTCCAGGGTTATTTGGTGTAGACCTCCTCCATTCCGGTGGGGTTTCTTCTGCTCGTTACTGAATTTCTTTCCCATTCTCACCTCTTCATGGGCCACAAAGTTATCTTACCAGCCAGGGCAGAACATAACAAATTTCTTCTCTGTACCTGGGAAATACTAACAGTAGCTTATGCTATAGCATTTTTTATGTGTCCAGCTCTACACAAAACATTCAAAAATTGTTGTTTGTTCATTAGGGTTTGTGTGCACATAGGCATGTAGGGGTGTCAGAGGAGCACTTGAGGAATCTGGTTCTCCCCAGGGGTTGAACCCAGATCACCCAGCTTGGCAATGAGTACCTTTGCCTGTGGGTCCACCTTGCTGGTATCCACACCAAACACTTTATATTTAATGTATTTACTGCTCACAAAAGTCCATAAAGTAGTTGGCATTATTAGCCTCATTTTACAGTTGACAGAGCTGGACACACAAAAGTAAATTTCCTTATATCAAGGAGACAACAAGAGATGAAGCTGGGGCCCAGTCAGGCAGATGGCCACTTGTGACCTGGGGAGCGCAGGAGTGAGGGACGTTGGCAGGCCTCTTGACTTTTTCTGCCTTACCACCAGTCTTCTGCTTCTTCTCAGACCGTCCCATTGCTACCAGCTGGGTTGGAACCCTGCAGACAATCCAGACAGCTCTTTTGTGGTGAAGTCTGGAGCCAGACTCTCCTGTTTCTATCACATCATGTAAGTCTTGCATGGGATAACATGTGGAAAGCGTGGCTGCATCATGTGTGTGATGGTTGGGTGTGAAGATGGGGTGGCATGTATGTGGGGAGACAGCAGAGCTCCTAGAAGCTAGAATTCGTGGGTGTGCCTGTCCTGTCACCAAGGGTCCTCTATCCCCTACCCCTGGTCCAGAAGGAACTAGATGTGAGTCTAGATTTTTAAGCTGAAGATTTCCACTTGATATGGGGTTCAGTGGCTGAATATGGGGGGTCATGAAAAATTTGGCAATAAAGGGTTTCTGGAAGCATAATGACAAAAATATTGTTACAAGCCCAACACTAAATGAGTCTGAGCTGTTTCTGGCAGCGTTCCCCTGTGTTGTGTTGTGGACCTCACTGCAGTCAAACTTCTCAACACACATCATAAGTATGCTGCACTGTGCAGCCATCATATCATACACCACCAAAGGATGCAGCCCAAAGCACCTTGATTCGATTCGAGACTCTTGCACGTCACAATTGCAGTGTTTTACCATACTCACAAAGTTTTCTGCTTTTGTAGAAACATCATAAAATTGTCGGATTATGGAAAAAAACTACTGTAAATGTTTTCCCACTGCCATTCCTCAGCGTGCACATAGGTAATGAGTTTATCTTTAGGTTGTATTATGTTAAAATGCTTGTTTTTAAAAATTCATGTTTGAATTGCTGACTTGAGCTTCATAAAGTATCATTAGTCGACTTTTGGGTTGTGATGAGGGCAGAATTGCCGAAATCTCTGAAATGGTTCTACATAGATTTCTGCATTTTGTGCTGTGTGTCTATGTGAAGTGGAGGTCTCCGCATTGATGACTACAAAAGCGCAAATACCAGTCAATTCTGAAAAACATTGTAGATGCTCTGTGTCCTGCAGCATCAAATGTTTAGCCAAGAATTAACTCTTTGTAAATATGTATACATATGCATGCATATAAAATAGCTTCATTCATCTCATTAGTATACAAATTTACTTTAATCTTTAACACATGGTAAGATTATATGTATACTAAACAATTGTCTTAAAAATAATTTCCTTGGGGCTGGAGAGATGGCTTAGAGGTTAAGAGCACTGGATGTTCTTTCTCCCAGAGGACCTGGGTTCAGCATCGATTTGGCAGCTCACAAATGTCTGTAACTCCAGTTCCAGGGGATCTGACACCTTCATGAACAAAATAAAGTTAAATAAATTATAAAATACAAAACATTCTTTATGATTTATTGCTAAAGGTTTGATTTATGTGTCTACTGTATGTGTCTTTATACCCTGGGTCATGTAACAATGTCTCCAGCAAAAAGCAGCCTGCAAGCAGAAAATGTGGAAGACATTCCAGCCTAGATGAGGGCCTCGTATGCAGCTGGAATCCAAAGGATTTACAGGGGTGCTTGTTATGCAGTCAGATACCCAAACTTCCTCTGCATGGGACTAGGTCTAGGTGTTTGTCATCTTGGACCTCAAATCTTGAGTCAGCTGAATCTTTGTGGTATGCTCACCTTGGTGTGCTGGGGCTGGACAGGCAGAGTGGCAGCAGCCAAGTCCTTCCACAAGAGAGATCAGGGCCTAGAGGAGTGCTGGCATATGACCAGCCAGGGATACAGACTAGACCAGGTGGCAGAGGGGGAAGGAGATCCCAATGCTTGGATCTTCGTGGCCACCCAGGTGTGCACATGCTCTTATTCCAGGATGAGTGAGGTCCTTGAAGTGATTCTGCTGTCCAGCTGAGTAGCCTCTGCACTATGTCCTGTCTTGCTTGTGGATCCAGTAACCACCAGCTACTGGTCCAGGACGGTGTGGGTAGGGCCTCCTCTGAGAGTTCAGGATGGTGGGGCAGGCCTGCTCTGAGACCTTCTCTCCCTAGCCTCACACTTCTTGGCTTCAAATCTTGGGCTTCCATTCCCCAGAGACTCTGACTCTACTTTAGCTCCTTTTCCACAACTACCATGTTTCTCCTGGAACTCTGGATCTGCTGAGACGGAAGCCTTTGACGACAGAGGGAGAGACCGGACCCTGTGTTAACGCATTGTTACTGCCTGCTCCACTAGGTGTTCTCTGAAACAATGGGCACAGGTGACATGCCATGAGAAGACAATGTCTAGTAATGAGGGAAATAGCTTGGGCACTATGGGAATGCCACAGGACTTGGCCCATAGCAGTCATCCACTGAATTTAGGTCTGGGACTCAGTTTCCTGGGAGAGGCTGATGGGGTCACGGAGGTCAAGGGCCCCTAAGCCCTTGGGGTCTAGAGCCAGTTTATCCTGCTATAATGGGTTCTGCTTAACTTTCTGAAACTCTTGAGAAAATCACATGTTAGGAGGGAGGAGAGAGCCTGCCTTCTGTCAACTGAGGCAAGTTTGGGTGATTAAGCTAAGAAAGCAAAGGCATTTTGGCCCAAGGGATTATCTTTGAGGTGTGCTGGGAACCAAGAAGTAACTTATTGCCTGTAAGGCAAACCAAACCCGAGATGACTCTCAGGTAATTGCCTGCCTCTCTTTCTGCCAAGCCAAGCAGCCTGGGATATAAAGGCCAGCTTCTTCTGTCATCCCTATCCTCTCCGAAACGCTTTGCTCTGCTAAGCGATTGCTAGCTCTCTGCCACACTCCTCACCATGAGCAGACAAGCCTGCAAGCAGTCCTTCAGCTTCGGGAGCCAGGGCTTCTCCGGCCACTCGGCTGTGGTATCTGGCAGCAGCAGGAGGAGCTGTGTGGCACGCACTCGGGCAGCTGGTGGAGGGGCCTATGGGTTCCGGAGTGGAGCAGGTAGCTTTGGCAGTCAGAGCCTCTACAGCCTGGGTGGCAGCAGGAGTATCTCCATTAGTGTGGCAGGTGGTGGCTTAGGCGGAGGGCATGGCAGCTGTGGCAGTAGCTTTGGAGGTGGCTATGGAGGTGGCTTTGGCGGTAGCAGAGGAATAGGAGGTGGCTTTGGGGGAGCATCTGGATTTGGGGGAGCATCTGGATTTGGGGGAGCTAGTGGCTTTGGTAGACCTGGTGGCTTTGGCCCTGGTGGCTGTCCTGGGGGGATCCAGGAAGTGACCATCAACCAGAGCCTCCTGCAGCCCCTCAATGTGGAGATTGACCCCGAGATTGGGCAAGTAAAGGCCCAGGAGCGTGAACAAATCAAGACACTCAACAACAAGTTTGCCTCCTTCATCGACAAGGTAAGGCCAGAACCCAGAGGCACTGTACCCAAAGATGCCAGTGGATTGTCTGGTACTTGGCCGGTTCTACCTCACTGCTTCCAGGGCAGTGAGTACACCTTTCTTGTTCCTTGTGTCCTCTCATTCCATCTGTGGAAGGAGGGAAGGGTTCCTGGTTTTAATTTCCCTCTAGTGATGAGGCGAAGGCCAGTCTGGTGAGGGGTCCAGTGCACTTTTAGTTCTGAAAAATTCAGCCACAAACCCAGAACAACTTGCTTTCTTTTTGACAAGCAATTGCCTTTAGCTAGCAGCTAACTAATTCTGCACAAATCCTGGGGCTGTTTCTCATATCCTTAGCAGCACCGTACTTTCCCGGTGATAGTGCGCCTCTGTAAATGGTAAGCTGAACTGTCCACGATGGGGAAGAGCAAGGCATGCTGGGCCCAAAGCAGACAGGAGCCCAGGATTTGAAGTGAGCCTTGGTGAGCTGCAAGATGAATTTCCGAGGACACATTGACTGTTTTTACTACCTTCGTGGAGGAGAAAGAAGTCTATATCTTAAGTCTAGCTAAAAATCACTTTATCCATGTTTTGAAGGATCATGATAGACTGAGAGTAGTCCTGAGTTTGACTCTTTACTTTGCAATTCTGTATGCATCTTGCTTTTGATGACTTAATGCTGTCCAGGTGGTTGTAAGAATTAAGGGGCATAGGATATATGAAAACAGGAGGTTTACAAAGTACTCCATACACACTGACTCCCCCTTTTCTAATCTCCAAATTCTGAAGCACAGAGGTCACCGTGGGCTGAGGAGCTGGCTCTGTTCTGCATCTTCCTACCCTTTAGGGTGGGCAGCCCATGTGCCTACCTGAAGGTCTCTTTCCCTTCCTCTCTTGATGTAGGTGCGCTTCCTGGAGCAGCAGAACAAGGTTCTGGAGACCAAGTGGAACCTCCTGCAGCAGCAGACCACGGGCTCTGGCTCAGGCCCCCAGAGCCTGGAACCTTTCTTTGAATCCTACATCAGCTGCTTGCGCAAGCGCTTAGATTCCCTTCTGGGGGAGAAGGGAAGCCTGGAGGGAGAGCTGAGGAACATGCAAGACCTGGTGGAAGACTTCAAAAAGAAGTAAGGGTCCTGGCGGAGGGGCTGCCTCATTTGGGATTTCAAACACATCTTTAGTCAGCACTCTTCTCTTTGCTGAGGGAAGTCTGGCCAAGTCGAAGTTGGGGCAGCGGGAACTCGTGCTTGTGGGACTGATCCTTATGAGGTTTTCAGGCTCCTGGAACTATGTAAGATTTCCCTCCTACATCAGCCCAGATGACCAAGAGGGTTCCCTTGCAGTTGCAAACAGAATTACTTAGGAAGGTCATCAGAAGGGCATATCCCTGTGTTCCAGTTGCTGCTATTCTGAAACAGTGAGGGTGTGGCAGTGCTGGGTCTGAGTGCTTGCTAGCCCCTGGTCCAAGGCTGTACTGTGCAAATTCATTCTGGTCTTTCATGCATCTTGTCTGCTGCAGCTTCACTCTGTCTCCAAATTTGAGTTCACACCTGAGATCTGTGAGAAGTGAACAGGGCCTCCTGAGATGGGAGGGAGTTCCAGACATCCCCAGGAGTCAGCACCCATGTAGAAAGCTATACCTACTCCTGGGAGGCCCCGTTCTTCCTCCACTGACTCTTTGAAGTTGTTCAAAGAGCTCAGGCAAGCAGTTGGACTCTTGATCCACCCCCAAGTATAATAACTTTAGCTTTGAACTTGGAGGAGGGAGAGGCAGACCCTAAGCTCTGAGGAGTCTCCAGGTAGTATATGATTTTCAGTTCTTGGCAAAAGGATTATGTAGCCTCCTTGCTAAAAAATTGAAGAATTTTGAGATGATGGTGATATCAGGGTGAGGACACTGTGGGCTCTGTGTGATTGCACAGGTCATGTGCCCATGAAGAAGGTATCATGTGTCTGGGTGGAGAGATTCTGCAGTAGTACGGGGGTCCTCATTTTTTCCACTTCTGTATTTTATGTATATGGCTGTTTTGTCTGCGTAGGCATTTGCAGAAGAGAGTGTTGGATGGCATGACTCTATGGTTATAGATGGTTTTAGCTGCTATGTGGGTGCAGGGAATTGAACTCAGAACCTCAGGAAGAGTAGCCAGTATGTTTAACCGCTGAGTCATCTTCCCAATTCTGAAATGTCACTGTCACTGTCTCTGTCCAGGTATGAAGAGGAAGTCAACAGACGTACTGCCGCAGAGAATGATTTTGTGGGGGTGAAGAAGGTGAGTGAGAAGTGGGGTAGACCCGGAATCCCTTTGCGTCCCACAGAGGGAGGAGAGTACTGCTGTGGACAGGGCTTCCTTCTTTCCTTACATTCTTGGGAAATCTTTGAAGGGAGTTGCTCATCTTCCAAACTGACCGTAACTAACAAGGTAACTAGTAGTGTGAACTAATAATGAATATCTCTTGTGTGGCATTGATCAAGATTGTTTCTAGCCTATAAGTGTACCTTTGTTTCTGTTCCCTTTCAAAGGTAAGGCGAGAAGTTACATCTAGAAGGGCTAGGGGAGGGACATGGAGAGAGAGAGGAGGGCTCAGAGGGAGGCTTGGCTAGAAGGGGCAGAGGTTATTTCTGTTTTCTCTCTCCCTCAGGATGTGGATGTTGCGTACATGAACAAGGTGGAGCTGCAGGCTAGAGTGGACAGTCTGACAGATGAAATCAACTTTCTGAGGACTCTCTATGACATGGTGAGTCTTCAGGTTGCTGCACAGAGACTGGCCACAAGCAACTTCATAAGCACAACTTTAGGGGGCAGGTCAAGGGGCAGCACACCCTCAAAGTCAGCCACGGGGTCCCCCAACTCAGCTCTGTTCCACCTAGGAAATGCCCAGTTTGCTCCTCCTGCCTGCAGGGTCAGGGCCTCTCTTCCCCGCCCCACCCCATCTTCACGGTCCCGGACACAGTCAGCTACTAAATATCACCCTCCACTCTAAGGAGAAGCCATGCTTGGGTTCACCCGGGCTGACACATCTTTGCAACTTGTCCTTTTCTTTTAGCCTTGTTGCTGGCATTCTGTAGGCTGTAGCCAGACCTGAAATGAAGCTTAATTTTTCTACTACCACATTATTTAGTATTCTCAGACATCTCTGCTAGTAGAGAAGTCCCAGTATCATTTGGAATCTGTGTTCATCCATGTTCTCCAATAGGAGCTGTCCCAGATGCAGAGCCACGTCAGTGACACATCTGTGGTCCTGTCCATGGACAACAACCGCAGCCTGGACCTGGACAGCATCATCGCTGAGGTCAAGGCGCAGTACGAGGAGATTGCTCAGAGGAGTAAGGCTGAGGCAGAGGCTCTGTACCAGACCAAGGTGGGACCCTTCCCTTCACCCCAAAGGCTATTAAGCTCTGATCAGCCTCAACAAAAATTTGTGGACACTTTACAAAGCCCTTCTGATCCATCTCCTCTGTCAGCTTGGGGAATTGCAGACCACAGCCGGCAGGCACGGGGATGACCTGAAGAGCACCAAGAGTGAGATCATGGATCTCAACAGGATGATCCAGAGACTTCGAGCAGAGATTGAGAACGCCAAGAAGCAGGTGTGGCAGCAACTGAGCTCCTTTGTCCAGTTTTCTCTGTTCTTGGGAGTCACAGCCTCAGGAGCCTCTGTTCTCCAACTGTTTTTCATGGAGGCTGGGCTTCTTGGAATGTCCCAGGACCCAGAAGAAGGGGGGGCTGCATTTGTGACTGCATAGCTAATCCGACCCACTGCAGTGTTGGCCTTAAGCAGTCATCTGCACTGTACGATGGAGCCTTTAGTTACTGTTTTTTAAAATCACACTTTATACAACTCCAATGGCTACTTTGTGTCACTGGAATGAAGTGGTCAGGGAAGGGATTTTTTTAAGTCTTGCAAAAGAGATAAAAGGCTAACCAGATAGCTGTTACCTATGCCAGCTCAGGGAAGCAGATGTTTCTTTTCATGAGTCAGGAACTGATTTCAATGAGCCCAGGATGAATTAATGAAATTGCAACATCATCCTGACTTGTCAGCACGTGCCACTTGGAAAGGGAAGGAGGAGTGATAGATGGGTGAAGAGATCCTGTCCTAAGGACCATCAAGTATTTGCTTCCTAGTCTTTTGTAATTTCATCGTTTATCTCTCTTCCCCAGAACGCCAACCTGCAGGCATCCATTGCAGAAGCTGAACAGCGTGGCGAGGGGGCCCTCAAGGATGCTGATGCCAAACTCCAGGAATTGCAAGCTGCCCTGCAGAAGGCCAAGGATGACATGGCCCGGCTGCTGCGTGACTACCAGGAGCTGATGAACGTCAAGCTGGCCCTGGACGTGGAGATTGCCACCTACCGAAAACTGCTAGAGGGCGAGGAGTGCAGGTGAGGGTGATAGGGCCAGCATTTCCCAAGCATAGTTTTATAGCCACCTAAGGTATTGAGAAAGAAAAAAAAAAGATAATAAAAGGAGAGGGCAAAGCCAGGCAGTGGTGGTACATGCCTTTAATACCAGCAGAGGCAGATGGATCTTTGTAAGTTTGAGGCCAGCCTGGTCTACAAAGCTACACAGAGAAATCTTGTTGAGAGAGAGAGAGAGAGAGAGAGAGAGAGAGAGAGAGAGAGAGAGAGAGAGAGAGAGAGAGAGAGAGAGAGAGAGAGAGAGAGAGAGAGAGAAAGTCAGACAGAGAACAGGGAGTCTCCTGAACAGCAGAGGAAGTGTTCAAGTTCACTGTTTTTCACCAGTCAATATTATCTAATCATCTAATTTACCATGGGTACAATATGGAATCACATACTTCTGTTCATCGATGTGGTAGCAAAAGCACTTTGAGATTGTGATAAAAGTCATAGACCAGGACTGTCCACTGGAACTTTCCACGATGAAAATAGTCTGGGCCTTCCTGGCTTCCTCTTCCTTCCCTCCCTTTCACCCTTCTTCCTTCTCCTCCTCTCCCCACCCCCAACTGTTTTTTTTCTTTTGAGATGGGGTCTCACTATGTAGCCCCAGCTGATCTTGAACTTCTGCTTCCTCTGCCCCAGCCTCCTGAGTGCTGGGATTACTGGTTATGCTTCAATGCCTGGCTTCTTCCAGCATCTGAAATGGGTGTAGTGTAACTGAGGATTTGAGTTTTACATTTAATTAAGATTAATTTACGTAGCTTCATGTGTCCAGTGACTTCCATGTTGGAAATTCAGTGTGAACAATCCTGCAACCCCCATTGCTGAAGCTGAGTCCATATGGGGAAATGCTTGCTGTACACATATCCCTGAAAAATATCGCAGCTTACAGTGGCAGTGAAGGCTTGGTGAATGGATATCATGTGTGAAGGCAGTGTCAAGAGTTGAGGGGGCATTCTGTTGGTTCCTGTCTCATGCACCTTCATTCAGAGCCTTTGCCCTCAGTCAGTCCTCAATTTGATAGGAGAGCCCAAGCATGGGAAGAAAGGGAATTCTGATGAGTCTCTGTGGGAAAGAACAGTGATGAGTTAGGAATACTGAGAGCCCAAGCATGGGAAGAAAGGGAATTCTGATGAGTCTCTGTGGGAAAGAACAGTGATGAGTTAGGAATACTGAGAGCACAAGCATGGGAAGAAAGGGAATTCTGATGAGTCTCTGTGGGAAAGAACAGTGATGAGTTAGGAATACTGAGAGCCATGTGATGAGAAGGGAGCGGTCAGCATCAGCAGGGACTACGGCTGGGGGCATGCAAACATTCCGTTTCTGTATAGTGCTCCACGAACGAGCATCAGACCCAGGGAGATGGCATTGTGAGTGGGAAATGTTCAAATACAGCACACACAGGGTCAGCATCTCATGCTTCCTTTACCATCACTACCACTGCTGCTGCCCCAAGCCCCGTGACACTCCAAGCCTCACTGGGAAAGGCTTCCTGGAGGAGGAAACGTGGGTAAATAAAGGCAGGGATGGAGAAGAGGGGAAGGACATGCACAGACAGAGAAGTTCATCTTAGCGGCAGGTGAGAGGTTAGGGTGGCCAATGAAATGAGGGGTGGCGGTTTGCCTGGAACAGATCTTTAGGGCTAAGGGTGGGAAGACAGGGAGATGGAGTGTGGTTGGCAGATATCCTCCAAGTTGTAACTGGCATCAGTCCCCTTCCCAGGGCTCGGGCCCTGGGAGGGCAGATGGGAAGATGTGGTACCCAAGGTTATAAACCCAGTTCTTTGACTGTTGACTCTCTGAAGAAGTGACTGTGTCTCCTCTTGACTTCTCAGGATGTCTGGAGAATGTCAGAGTGCAGTGTGCATTTGTAAGTAGCACATTCAAGAGCCTATCCTGGGGGGATGGAGATGGTTCAGTGGTGGCAATCCCTTGCTGTGCAAGCATGAGGACCTGAGTTTGAATTCTCTATTGCTCACTTAAAAGTTGGGCATGGCCTTGCACACCTGTGCCCTAGAACTGGGACTGAGGAGTTAGATGCTGGGAATTGGCTGGCCAACCATCCTTGCTAAAATGATAAGCTACAGACCCCAACTTAAGGGAGTAAGTTGGAGATGGACATCTTCCTTTGGTCTCTGCATGTGTGTGTGCACAGGCATGAGCGTTTGGCCCATTTCAATCAAGGCATCCCTGTGACAGTGGCCACCTCTCAGTGGTAGCCGTGTGCTGTACCCTTCATGCAAGCTGGGCTCCAACTCTCCACCCTTCTGCTTATTTATGCCCTAAGTTGGAGAACCAGAAATTTTGTGAACACCTCTGGATCTTGTTCTTGGCTAAGGTGCTAGAGAGCCGGGTTCACCAATTATCCTAAAGCCAAGGCCTCAGAGGTTATGAGCATCTTTTCTAAGTTCCAGAGTGGGGTGGGTCTAAGACAGAGTCACTCTCCAGCTCCCCAGGCCTTTCTCCTGAATTGTCTATCCCCCTGTAGCGGTAGTTAGCAATGCTACCAGCACAAGCAGCAGCAGCGGAGGCTTCAGAGGGGCTGGTGGCAACAGCAGCAGTGGCTCCAGAGGTAGTAGCAGCAGCAGCAGCGGAGGCTTCAGAGGGCCTGGTGGCAGCAGCAGCAGCGGCAGCAGCAGAGGATTCAGAGGGGCCGGTGGCAGCAGCAGCAGCGGAGACTTCAGAGGGGCTGGCGGCAGCAGCAGCAGCGGAGGCTTCAGAGGGGCTGGTGGCAGCAGCAGCAGTGGAGACTTCAGAGGGGCTGGTGGCAGCAGCAGCAGTGGAGGCTTCAGAGGGCCTGGTGGCAGCAGTAGCAGCAGCAGTGGAGACTTCAGAGGAGCCGGTGGCAGCAACTATGGAGGAGACAGCAGTGTCAGCAACAGCCGCAGCAGGGACAGCACTGGGAGCAGGCTTGGCAGGGAAGACGTCTGTGCAGGCCAGCGAGGAATGGGCACCCAGGCCTCCGTAGGCGACAGCTACAAGTCTGGCAGAGGAGGCGGCAGCAGTGTTCACTTCTCTCAGACCACCAGTTCCAGCCAGCAGCGCTCCAAGTAATCCTCAGGAGAAAAACATTTCCACCCAGCTGTCCCCTGCCTCAGCCTGCAACTATGCCCCTCCCCCATCTTCTTGGCATCAACAGGCACACAGTGCAACCCTGCTTTCACTCAAGTTCCTTGGAGAAGGGGCCAAACTCCTAGGCCAGGGTGGCTCAGCTACTAGTCTAGGATGATGGTGCCCTGTGATGCCCCCCCCCCATTTGAACAGCAATGCCTGAGCCTATGACTTCCTGAGTCTTCTAGTCTAGCCTAGTCCATTCTGGCTGTCTACTTCCCAAGCTTTCCAAATGGTTGGTTTTGGTGAAGCTCTCCTCATACCTGCCACATATGTCCCTTAATCTACTGAGCTTCAGATCATTTGATGATGACATGCTACACTTTTCTTCCTCAATAAACTGCACCATGCTTCAGAAATGGGTGTTTGTCTTTCAAGGAAAAGATCAGATACAGGAGCAGAGCAAAATTAGGTCTTCTAGAAGACTAGTGGTAGGTATAAAGGACATCAAATTGATAAGGTTTCATCCTTACTCATCTGCTTGAGTTCTTGTGACAGGTATAGCCAGAAGCACTCACCGTACTAAAGGGGGGACTCTCTCTACCTTTTAGAAGCTCATTGCACCATCCTCCAGCCTCTGAGCAGGCACTATGCTCCTGGCTTGCACACTTCTGGCTTGCACACAGAGAAAACAGACTGCTCTGGACTTTCCTCTTTTGCTCCATCTCCACCAAAGTGGGCTCAGTAAATTCTCTCTGCAAACAGAACTCCTGGGCCTCAGTCAACACACAACACCCTCTTTTCCCTGAGACAGTTCTGAGCCAAATACAATATTAAACAAGAGAATGAACCTATGGTGGACTGGGAATGTAGTCAGGTGGTCTAACACTTCATTCTACTGACCTGCGTATTGTGCTCATTTCGGAGTGCTTCCAGGGTTCTGCACAGGGGTTGGGGAACCCAGGGAAGGTCTGGTGTTCAATTAAAGTAATAAACAGAGATGAAATCATAGAGCAAGAAGATGGAGTAGGGTTAGACTCCCAGTAGGATGGACTTGAAAGCTGAGTCCCTTGTGAACTGTTGTGAGGAGAGATGGTGGAGAGAGGTAGTTGAAGGATGAAAGTCAAAGGGTGCTGGAAAACTGGGTGTGGAGGTAGGGAGGGTGAGAAGGCACGCTAGATAAGACCAGAATAGAAAAACATTCTTTGGGAGGGGTGAAGGGACAGACCAAACCCCAGGAGACCGCCTGGACTGGATGCACTTGACAGAACTGAGACTGACTATATGCTGCCCACAGAGCAATATCACAGAGGCTTCCAGAGTGAGGACTTTGTGTCCCAGGCTGAGCTAGAGCTGGGACAATGGGATCTTTCTAAGCCCAGGGAGCCTGGCAATCCACCCTGAGCTTCCTTGGGCTTGCAGACTCTCTGGGGTCTACTTTCGCTTGGGTACAGAAATGGGGCGGGAGGGACAGGTCTCTCTGTACTTTAGTGGCATGGTCAGAGGGAGAGAGGAGCTTTTTCTAAGTGACACAGAAAACCCTGTCAGTCGTCTTCGACCCTTAGTGGTAACTGCCTCTTTATTTTCCATCCACTCCTCTTCTCCAACTCCCTTCAGAGTTTTCTCCATTATGAAAATAACACATACGACAAAATGCTTAAGACTTCACCAATTCAAAAGCAAACACCTTTTCTGGCCACTCTACCATGGTGGCATTCTCCTTCATTGATATTCACACGCTGTGTGGCTAGTTCCACTGAAGAGAACATTCTCTTTTTCAGGGAAGGGAGAGCTTCATAGGATTCAAGTGAATTTAGGCAAAGAAAGCTAATGACACATGACTCTCTCCCTAAGTTAATAAAATCAACAAACCACCCTTGGAGAGGACACCTTTTCCAGTTTGAGCCACCTGCAAGCGTGCGAGGAGCTCCAGAGATATAGATTTGGGTGTTGTCACCCATCCTGGGGTGGGCTTCTTGTTGCTACAGCTGCCTCTGCATCACCCTTGCTTCTGTAAGTAACCCTGATAAACTCCCTGACTCTACAAATTAGAGTTGAGTAGCATCATTTCTTTACACTGTTGTCAATCCCTCATCTGAGATGAATAGATGCTTGTTCATATGTCTCCAGGAAAACCCACAGAATAACCTCCATGCACACATGCATAACATATAGACGTATGAACATGTACATATACATTTCACTGAGCAGAGGCTTATAATGTATACTGCTTTCTACCCTGATAGTTACCTAGTCTATTGTGCCATTACTATTGTCCATTGAGACAGTCAACAACTAGAGCAAATCCTATTGCATCCTCAGTTTTGTGCCAGAATCAAGAAAGGAGAGGATGTAGTTTCTGTTTTTAGAATTCACTGTTTAGCTTAGAAGAAACTTGCCAAACAACATCTTTATATAATAAATCTTATCCCAACTACGGTGGTTTGAAAGAAAATGCCCCCCAGAGGGAGTGGCACTATTAGGAGGTGTGACCTTGTTGTAGGAAGTGTGTCACTGTGAGGGAGGGACAATGAGATTTTTTTTGCTCAAGCTTCTCTCAGTGTGACTGTCAGTCAACTTCCTGCTTCCTTTTGGTCAAGATGCAGCCAGCACTGCTTATGTGCTTGGTGGTGAAGTGTATGGGTTCACTCTTGTAGTGAAGTTCCTATGTACAACCCGAGCTTCATAGCTGAAACAGTGGTCCCAGTGGTTTTGTTAGATCATCACTGTCCTGAACACTAAGATCTGGGGAGGAAGCCACCTCCAATCCACTGTTGAATTCCTGTTGTCCCTAGTCTCTGAGTCTGGGCTGCCTCATCAAGGTTCAAGTCAGGGCCGGGTATGCTTTCCTACAATGACAATAATGATGCCTTAGATTCTCTGTATTTGCTCTCTAGTCCCTGGGTCCCACAGAATTCCAAAGCTCTAGGTTTCCTTCAGTCTGTGGGGGCTGGACAGATGCCCCTAAGAGGGAGCGCTCTTGTTCTGTCCATGGTTCTGAAACGGGTGCTGTGCAAGCTCCTGTGCACTCTCTTTCTCATGTGGTTGTGCGTGCGTGCTGTGTGTGTGAGTGTGTGTGTGTGTGTGTGCCTTCTCTTTCAGGAGTCTTATGTCTGATACTCCCAGAGCTTCCTCTAACTCAACTCCAATCCCTGCTTTAGCTACTTTTGTTGTTGTTGCATCTGGGCTAGGGGATTTCTTGTCTAAAGTCAAATAAACATTTGATTCAAAGCACAACTCTAAAATAGGCCTAAGAATTCATCCCATTTGTGTTTTATATGAAAGCAAGACCTCAAATCATGTGTCTTTCAAAGTCATTAGGGGCGAGGATCGCATGTCTTTGTGTTTTCCTCTCTGTCTTGGTTGCTGGAGAGTGTCTAACTGCTGACTGGATTATGTACTACTTCTTCTGCCATGGATTATTTTTTATGTGTATAAGAGGGATGTTAAAACTTAAAAAACTTGTCTTCTCTTTAAGGATATATTAGTGATGAGTGACATTCCAAACTGCGAGCTCCCAGAGACAATGGGAAAATTAATTAAAACCTTAAAACAATACACTTATCTATTGATACATGTGAGTGTATGGGAGTTCCTGAGGTAGAACTCAGAGGTCAAATTGCAGGAGTAGATTCTTTTCTTCCACTCTATGGGCTCCAGGGATTGAACTCAGATCACCTGACTTGGTGGCAAGCACTTTTACTCTCTGCACCATATTGCAAGCCTGGGTAAGTGATTTTAAAATGTCAACAATATTATTCATTAATCTGATAATGAAATAATATCTTTATTACAGAGATGTTTCAAGGAATAAATTAAATAATAAATATATAAAAATCACCTTATAAAATGAGAGATGACTCGGGTATGGTGGCGCACCCCTTTAATCCCAGTACTCAGGAGGCAGAGACAGACAGATTTCTCTGAGTTTGAGGCCACCCTGGTCTACATAGTGAGTTCCTCAGGAGGCAGAGACAGACAGATTTCTGTGAGTTTGAGGCCACCCTGGTCTACATAGTGAGTTCGAGGATAGAAGGGCTACACAGTGAGACCCTGTCTCAACCCCCGCAATAGATCTTAAAATGAGAGATGATTTTACATATGTTTGCAAATTTAGATTAGTGAATTTATTATATACTCCTTAAATGAAGGAGCTATCCATGTAATGTCTTGTGTATTCAACAAGCACCTGTTGGCCAACAGATCAGTTAAACAGTGTACAGGCTGTTAGAGCTCTGTATGGCTTGTCCTTGAACACAGTTCGAGATTTGACCACCATTATTTCCAGGGTTACTATTGTGAACTCATTTCTGAAGAATTAACTAGAAACAACTTCAGAAACCATCAAGAGGAAACTCCTTTTAGACACCTATATTTCCTCTAAAACACTCTCCACAGTGGCAGCCCTTCTCCTGTGGTGGGGCATACTCATTCCCACACAGTCCTTATAAGTTTCACTCATGAATCTAAGTTCTCCCTCAGAGGTCCTAGGGAGGGACAGCCTGAGCCCCTTGTGTATGAGTCTGAAAATGTACGAATGGCTTTCCCTTCATAAATTTTATTTTCCAAGGAGTCACTTCTATCCTTTGCTTTGGGATGCCCCCTGACCTCTTGAGTACTTTCCCACCCAAAAATCTTCTGGGTGCCCGAGTCCAGCCCTTTCGGTGAGGTCTGGCTAGCCCAGGAAAGGGGCAAGCACAGGCTTTCTCTTTGAGCACTCGAGCCTGGCCTGGGCCTTTGGCAACCTGTCACTGTGCTGACTCACCCTGAGCTGGTGCCACTTTCCATGCAATTTGCATACTATACATCTCATGCGGAGTTGTGTGGATGTTTTGTTTGCATGCAGGTGGCGGGCTTTTAACTAATCTCTGTCAAGTCTTTCTTTGTGCTAGCTCAGATTCCAGAACCACCAAAATGTTTTTGGATTCTGCTCCAACCATACATCTAACTTGTTACTTGTATTAGGGTCTGGTCAGTGTACATCCCTCTTCCTGCCAAACCCACCTGTGTCTCATCAGCCTCCATATCATGCTTTCCCATATCTCACTAACGTTGACTCTTCTGCATTTCCTAGTCGACAGGGAGGGCGTTAGGCTCAGCAGCAATGTCAGGCTCCCTGCTGTCTTTAGATGTCCAGCTGTGAAGAACAGAGGGTCTGTGGGGAGTGTGAATCCAGACTTGGATGGATAGCTTCTCAGCCCTCACCCTTCCCTGCTGTTTGTTTGGGCATGTCATCCATTTGTTTGTCAAATTAAACAAGTGAAGGGGCTTTAAAAGTCGAGGATGCCCCATGAATGTCAGGGTTTAAGCACTGACATAGAAACTCATAAAAGTGATAAGACAATAAACTGTTTTTGGAAACTAAAATGTTGTCAAGTTGCATAAGATTGGCTGGATTCTGGGGGTGGGGCCTATGTGC